GTCTCCTTCAATGGGGGATGTTTTATTAAGAAATATATTTTAAGACTGGTTTAAGAGTCGCCACTTAATTTTAAAGTAAAATCAAGAAAACTATTGTTTTCAAAAGACTAAAACAGAAATCTAGTGAAAACTTAAAAAGGGTTACGAGGTTCTTATTAATATTCTAGGAAGGTTTTTAAGGCACCTAGAATATCCGCTAATGAGGTTGTCCGACAATTAATTTATTTGGCTAAAATAATTTTAACTTAACTTAAATTGCAAAATTGATTTATTCTATAGTTAGAACTATTTTTTAAATAAGGGGGAAAGAAAAATATGGAACTACCATCTAAGTGAGACAATTCGCAAAATTTATTCTTTTAAGTCTTTTGAAAGATGATCGGTTTAGTTAAGTTGTTAAAAAGGAAATGAGCGTCTTTCGGGAATTTGAACTTTCCAACCCTAAGATTAACGACAAATACTAACAAGCAAAACAAACACAGTAAAGTAAAGAGGGAAAGAGGGTTTGACCCAAATCTGGTTTCTGTCCGCCTGGACCAGTATTTGGGCCCATTTAAGTCATTTGTACCTGTCCTATTCTAGCATAATAGAAGTATTTTCTATCTTTTGGGCCTTAGTCCCAATTCTTCCGCCTGTCCTAAACTAATACAACAATAACAATTGAAATGACAAGGGCTTAGACCCAAAATAACAAAATACAACTATTAAGAGTGGGCCTTTGGCCCAATCTTTTCAAATTTCTCAATCGGTTGCTCCTTTCAACCTCGAGACCTGTTCGTCAATTTTTAATGGCCAGTTCTTCAAATTTTCTTGTCGGCTAACTCGATAAGAGGAATTTGAGCCTTTATGGCTCTCTTGAAAATGTAAGGGAGAGGATAGGAGTTCATGGTGAACTCGGGCCGATTTCACATGCAAACAATACACAAATTGCAGAATTAGCGCTTTTCGGGAATGAAATAAAGTGACAAGATAAAAATGAATAAATAAGCGGAACAACATATATATCAATTAGTCGTAAATAGCACAATATTTAAACTCTAATATAAACGGAAAATTCATGAAGACATAATATATATATATATATTATTTTTATTTTATTTTATTTATTTATTATTATATTTTTTATACGTGGAGGGCAATGAGCAATGAAGGAAAAAGTCAAAGTAACATTCATACCTTTTCCAGAAATCAATAGTGGAAGAAACAGTGGAACCAAATTCAATAAATGAAAATAAAATAAAAAAGAAAAATAAAATAAAAGAATCTTAAACTACTGCTATCAAAACAATGCTAGTACCATTAAATAATTTTTTCTAATAACGTGAAAAGAAGCAGTAACATGACTTAGTGAAACAACCAACATAAGACTAAATTAAATAAACAAAACCAACAAAACTTGGTGGACTGTCAAATGCAGAAAATGATTGACTACCTATTGAGCACCGCTAGAGGATGATCCAAGCAAAACTTATATTATATTAACTCAAGTTTTGGGGAAAAGGATAGTTAAACCAACCAAATGTAATTTAGCATTCAGCTACTTAGATTAGTTAAAATAACGAAAGCCTTCATTTTGAACAAGCTAATCACACAAATAGGCCACGTTTCCAAGCCGAATTAGTATTTGAACACCACGCCACCCAACATGATTTAAGCTTAAGTTTAGCCTCATAATTTTAGCATTTCTAAAGCATGATAAGATATGTTTAAAGACAACTAAAACAGACCTCATGAAAAGTAGAAATAAGGCAAAGATAGGAGAAATATGCTAAGGAAGCCCACACTTAGATTATAAATGACAAGCATTTTGACTAAAATTAGACAAATATGAAAACACGACTTGATTTACACATGCTTTGCTAAATAGTAGAACAATCACTAATAGACCAACGAGCCATAGATGAAACAACACGCATGCTCACTATCAATTAGTTTAAAATTCTGCTCCTACTTTTGAAATGAGAGTGACCTTAACAAGCCCAGAGAAGGGCCGAAATAGCAACCACAAAAGATTTTTCAGCTGTCCTAGCCGACACCAAACCGAATGAACAATCGAACCATAGATAAAAAATACAAGCAAATACAAAAATCGGAAGAGAACTAGAGTTCAATGGTTCATAAAATTTCCAGCAGTTAATTTGCTAGGCAAAGGCCCATTTTAATCTTAAACAACTAAGATACACATGATTCCAAATCAGACAACCCCTTGACAGACAAAGCCATGAACCAGGCAGAGAATAGAAACATTTTTTTTTAAAAGGACGAAAACATACTAACATCCCCCATTTTACTTCATTTCATACCAAAGCAGAACATCAAACAAAAAACAAAAAACAAAAAAAAAAAGGTTGGAATTCCAAATGAATTTACCTTTCTTGGTGCAACGAACTGAGGCGACGAGCTTGAGAGACGAACTTCACCACGCCAGAACTTCGACCATGAGCAGTAGCCAAGAAAAATGGGCAGAAAATATCGAATACTGGCTGAAATTACTTGTCTTTTCTGATTTCTTATAGTGTATTTAGTAGGTATTTCTTTAGCTATTTCGTTCAAGTTGTTCTCTGTGAAAAATTTTCCAACCCAAAAATTTCCTTTCAAGAATTTTTTACCCCCACCCCCCTCTCTTTGATACTGAAACAGTAAAGTACTATATAGGAAGGAGCTAGGGTTCAATTTCGAGGGGGAAAAGGAATCCAATCCGGACAGAAAATGGGCCATTCCCAATTCAAATTTCAAAAATTCTTTCACAATTAAGGAGAGGCACCTTTTCTTGCAATTTTCTCCCCATTCCAAAAGAGGAAAGGGGAGAAAACGCGTGCCTCTGTCTCGCTGTTGCGTGTGTCGGCACATTTGAACTGTTGTTGTACGTTTTCTGGTCATTTCTGCGTGAAGAAGAAGGGTAGCAAGGGTCGGGTGGGCTGTACGTTGTTTGGAGTTGTTGAATGTATTGTGTATTGTTAGTATGTATTGGTAGTGGGCCCCTGGAAATGGATTTCTTTGGTGTTGGGCTGGGAATTAAGTAGTGGGCTGTTTGGAATCAAGTTAGGCTGAAAATTATGGCCCAATTTTAGGTCTTGAAGAATTGGGAGGCAAGGATAGCAAGTGGCTAATTTTGTCATTGCCAAATTCGAAACTTAGCTAAATTTAGCTAATGAATTAAAATTAATCAATTAACGGGCTTCTCAAATTCAACGAAATAAAATAATTAACTCGACTATAAAATAATTAATTTAATTACAAACTAATTAACTCAAAATTATAACTATCATTTAAACTAAACTAAATTAGTAGAATATTTAACTAAAATTTAAATCTTTTTGAGATGAATTTTCGAAATGTCTATAAAATATACTAATTATATATAAAATTATATAAGACATATATATTACTTAAAATGATAAAATTAATTAAAAGTAATTTGAAAAATATTTGAACTTTATATAAGAAAAAATTAATTATTTCAAATTGTTTAGGATTTAAGAAGCTCGGAAATTAATATATATTGTGGAGGTCCAAAATTAGGTGTCAACAGGGGATTGTAACACATGTATATGAATATTAAGCGAATTTATGAAATATGAGAAGAAAGGGAAAAAATTTGTAACTGATTTGATATTATGGTGTTTAATTAGTAAGAATAAATATGATATAGAATTATGAGAATTTATGATTTAAGATGTGCATTATGGAGTTTTTAATATAACACATGAATTAGAAAATATGAAAAATCACAAAAATAAGATATGATTTAGAATTATGAGAATTAAAGATCTAATATATATATTTTGGAGTTTTTAACATAGCACATAATTTTTTTTAAAAATGAAAAATCACAAAAATGAAAAAAAAAAGATAAATGAGTTTTTTTTTAATCATAAAAAGGTGACATATCACTTTGTCTACATCTAACTTTAATATATATAGAGATGTAGATATAGATTTATGTTTGTTAATAATTTAATTAAATATTTTTGTGAATAATTTAAATCAAATAAAAAGGAGAAGACAACAAACAAATCCTTTTTGGAAAAAAAAAAACGGAATGACAATAAAGGCAAAAGAAAAGTTTTAACCAAAAAAAAAAAAAAAAAGTTATTGAGAAGACATTAATAATGGAGTAATAGTAAGGAGAGAGAAAGTGTAACTGTAGCAATTTTTCTAAATTAAATGAGAAAAATATTAAAAAATTTGAGAAAAAAGATAAATTGAGATCCTGGCCAAAGAAGCATGCCACATTAGCGGTTTCACATCCAAATTTTGACACGGTACTAGTCTTTCTAGTCTGACATTTAGCATGCTAGGAATTTACTAAGTTGGATCATCTTCTGACAAGCAAATTTTCCCTTTTGAAGAATCAAAGTCTTCTTGAACATTTAATAACTTGGTCCTTCCCCAAGTCCCCCCAAGGATTTTGTCAAAGTTTCATTTACCCTGACTAACTAGATTTGCGTCGCATAGGACCCATTAAAGTGAGAAACGCTATATATCAAGAGTGTCTCCATTTTTTTAGTGCTTGAAGTCGAGACCTCTAGTTAATTCCTGCCATTTGGTAAGTAAGAGTTTAAGCCAAAAAATATCAAGGAAGTAAGAAAAACTAATGGAATGCCTTGAAGTTTTGACCAAGAACCGACTTGTTACTATGGTCCTTCCAATTTAGAAGAACAAGGCACTATCTTGAAGTCCTTCATTTTGATTTGCTTAAAAGAAGATGATCATCCTTTGCTGACCATGGAATAAGCAGTCATTTGTCAAAGTTCAAAACAATTTTTTATGTCAAAATTTTGGGAAGCTTCCTTCTTGTCTTAACATCCCTTTCATTCATTGTCAACGATTAAGACAAGTTTTGGATGTTAGTTGAATGATGGTAAATTAAATCCAATGAAAAGGACATTAATTCTGTATTTTAGTATACATTAATCTTCAAACACCTAATTTTTGTGTCACCTACTCTTGTCATCTGACCCTACAAAGAGATTAGGTTTGTAAAATACAAAAAAAAGTTTACCATTTGGGTATTCTGCAACTTCTGTGTCTAGCTGTTTTTACTGATAAAAAACAAACATATGCATCTTACAAAATTACATGTTATGGTGACAGGATGGTGTCACAAGAATGGAAAGTTACTGCTTGTATATGAATACATGCCTAATGGCAGTCTAGATATGCACCTCTTTGCGGGACCAGATAAAGAGCCGTTGAGCTGGAACCTCCGCTACAAGATTGTGCAAGGTGTTGCCTCAGCATTGCACTATCTGCACAATGAGTATGAGCAGAGGGTGGTCCATCGCGACCTGAAGGCGAGTAACATCATGCTTGACTCAAAGTTCAATGCGCGCCTTGGGGACTTTGGCCTTGCACGGGCACTTGACAACGAAAGGACCTCGTATGCTGAGGCAGAAGGAGTGCTTGGCACAATGGGATACATTGCACCAGAGTGTTTCCACACAGGGAAAGCCACACAGCAATCTGATGTATACGCGTTTGGGGCAGTGTTGTTGGAAGTTGTATGTGGCAAGAGACCTGGAACCAAGATTAATGGCTTTCAATTCTTTGTTGATTGGGTTTGGTACTTGCACCGCGATGGCCGTATCTTGGAAGCTGTTGATCCAAGGCTTGGAGGTGACTATGTTGCTGATGAAGCAAAGAAACTTCTACTGCTTGGTTTGGCTTGTGCACATCCTATAGCTATTGACAGGCCTAAAACACAGGCAATAGTTCAGATTATATCAGGGTCAGCACCAGCACCAGAAGTTCCACCATTCAAGCCAGCATTTGTGTGGCCATCAATGATGCCAATTGACATAGACTCAAGTGTTATGGACACAACATCCATTACTACTTCTCACTTCAATTCAGGATGGAGTCTTGACTATCAAAGCAGGGAGACCCCAACATATGCAGACCACTCTTTGGTGTAGTTACTTTGATGGTAAACAACTATTACCAAAAGGAAAAATGATTTTTTTGGCCTTCTATTTTTTAAAAAGTTTCCTGTAATTATGTTTTCTTGGGAGGAGGTTAAAAATTTCCTTCAGTTTTTTACTTTTTGTTTGATGTTTTTTTTCCTTTTCAATTTGTTATTGGGGCATGAAGAAAAGATCAGAGCAACCCGTGTACATTCATATAACTCAGTAGTGTTACATTATGTCATATTTACTGTTTTCCTGTCTTTGTCAACCAAAATTATGTAAAAGACACTCATGTTGAGCCAAATTGGAGGAGACAGAAAATGAATAGTGGCGAAGTATCTTTGTTGCCTCAATTGTACTACTACATACAACTTAAAGAATTCCAAGATCTCAAATTGTAATGAAAGATAAGAACTGATCAATTCTTATAAAAGCAATAGATAACAGAAGAACACAATACAAAGATGGATCATAGATGCTTTGTTGATATGCATAAATGCTCTGCCATTTTATAGGCTATTGTAGTATTAGATCGTTGACAATATATAGTAGATGAAATTCCACTAAGATTTATCTACTTTCAAGATCATTTCTGTAAATCAATATAACGGAGGACCTGAGATGCTTGCCAAAGTTTTACAAGTTAGTGCGCATAAGATCAAGAGTTTCCCCCGCCTGCAACTTTGTTGATAAACGGAGCTTTCTATAATCAGTGAAAGTGAAAGGAACATAGATACGGGGGTGTTCAGCATCTACCAGCTCAGGTGGTGGTTCCACTGCTGTGTCCCTTGGTCCCAAGAGGAATGAAGCAATAGACACCCGTTGTTTTGCTTCCTTGCATATCACTCTATGCTTGACTGTGTGTAATCTTCCATTGCTCCATACCTTCACATAGCAAAAGCAAGTATCATTGTCTAGTTCTTTTTTCTCAATCTTAGAAGGGGTAACGGAGTAGGAATTATCTAACTTCCTGCTAAACAAACCCCGCCAGAGGCTAGCATAAGATTGTTGGAACACGTCAAATCTTGAAAATGAACTAGGTAGAGTAGCAGCATAGTTACCGTGCCTATGTCTCCAAGATTCACAAGGAGGGTGTTTGGCCAAGGATCAACTGCTACAAATTCACCAGACTTCTTCATGACCTCAAGACCGCTAACGCTTTCATCATCCTGTAGAATAGTAAGGAATCCTGAGTCTGTGTGTATCTGAACCCCAGAGGAACCTACAGCTTCTGGGGTGAAGTGGTACTTGTTAATCCTAAACTGACAAGGCCAATCCTCAAAGGAAACATTTGGCAGTCCCAACCCTTCACTCATCTTTCGCAGAATGTCCATCATTAGTCCATTAATTGCTGCAGCATACTTCTTGATTGTCTCTCTGTTCACAGTAGGAATCAAACTGCTTTTAAGCATTCTAGTAAAGCAGTCTTTTGATTTTTCTTCAATATGAAATGTAAGTGTAGGTTTACCCAAACATGCCCCCCATTGTTCTTAAAATATATTCAGATATCAATTCCTTTTTCGTGTTAATTTCTTTATGAAGCCTCTCCAGCAGGTAAGAAGCACTTCTTTTGGATAGTCATAGTATTACTCTTGTAGTTTCTTATTTCTTTGATTTCTGTTACTATTTATTGTTCCTTGTACTTCGATTATCACATTATTTTGTTGTAGTTACAGATTGCTTTGTTATGCCTTGTTTAGTATTTTGCCTTGTTTCTTTACTTTTGTTATTTTCTTGAGCCAAGGGTCTACCGTAAACAACTTCTCTACCTCCCAAAGTAGGGGTAAGGTCTGCATACACACTACCCTCCCCCAGACCCCACTTGTGGGATTAGACTGAGTATGTTGTTGTTTTAACTCATATTACAATTATGAGAAAGAGTAAAAACAAGAGAAAACAAAAGCTCTCAAGTGTCTATTCGCTTCACTGATCATTTAAGCTCCTTCAACTATTGTGCTAAAAGTAAGTACCAAACTCACTAGTACTATGAACAAATCAATTCCAGATCCCACCAGCAAGTCTCTCACATAGCTAATTCATCAAGGATATCAGCAATAAATGAATTGTACTTTTCATTTTCAGAAATCCAACACCACCAACTATCAATGCACAAAGAACTCAACTTTCCATTATCAAGAAACTAAAAAAGTACTCCCTCTGCCCCCAATTCAAATGTCTTACATTCCTTTTTCAGTCTACCCCAAAAAGAGTGTCTTTTTCTATATTTACTAAATTTTCCAATTTCGACAGTCTACCTCGCAAGTCACTGATATAGCTAATTGATAAAGGGGTAACAGCAATGAATCCTATTGTTCATTATCAAAACTTCATCACCAACTTCTAATGCACAAAGAACTCAACTTTCCATCATCAAGAAACTAAAAAAGTAATCCCTCCGTCCCAATTCAAGCATCTTACTTCCCTTTTTCAGTTTATTTACTAAATTTTCCAATTCCAACATTCTACACAGACATAGCAAATTGATAAAGGTAACAGCAATGAACTCAACAAAGAACTCAACTTTTTCATTTTCAAGAAACTGAAAAGGCAAAAATCAAACCTTTGGTGTGGAGATGCATCCAACTGAGTACAAAACTCATCTACATCTTCAGGACAAGACATATCATAGAGACCCAAAGCTTCATAAAGAGGGTTTTTTTCACTAGGAGCCATGTACCCAGATCCTGCAATTACATCCTTGTTGCGTTTCTTGATTTCAGTTGGAAGATCAAACAATGTCCTCACCACTTCCTTCATCTCTGCCATGAGTGAAACTGGAAGAATGTTATCATGGTTCAAAATTCTGAAACAACCCCATTCTTCACAAGCCCATATCAACTTGGATGATTGCCTTGGAAAATCCTGTAAATCAATTACTGGCACTGAATTTTCAGTCTCCATTTTGTTTTTGTTTTTTGCTCTTACCTTGGTTTTTTTCTTTTTTTGGAACTTGGGGTTTATTCTTATAATGAAATGAAAAACTCCCTTTATCGAAAATTTTAATCATGTCACATGAATTGAGATAGATGTGATAAAAAACGTGAAAGAATTTGGATGCGTTGAATTAGAGAGGAACACAACGTCGGTCTCTCCGCATGATTGTCTCAATTCTTTTGGACATACAAACACATTTGAAACATACATCACTCTCCTGTGAGAAAAACAAAAATCAGACAATAGTGTAATTCATTTAATTTATTATTTGTCATGTTTCTTTAAAAATATTAATTTGGAAGATTTTTGATAATTTTATTTTTATTTATGTCTTAAGATATAATTTCTCTTTATTGAATATGTGTCATCACTCTACAATTTAAATATATGTAATCGTCAAGAACAATTACTATTAACGTAAAATGGAAAATAATAATTAATTTTATTCCAGGTTGGAAATGACAATGATATATTCAATGTATTTTATAAATGATGTTTGAAAAACAATTACGTAATTCGTTGGAAGTGGTAATAAAAGAAAAAAAAAGATGAGGTAATTGATATAACAAGGGATTATAACATAAGGTTGTTTTCCAAAAAAAGAAATTATCTTTTTGGGTGAGACAAGAATCAAGAAATGAAATAAGAAAAGTTTTTGCTCATTTTCATTAGGGATAAGGGTCTGAAAAATACCTTAACTTTGATCGAATTTGTTGTTGCGATACTAAACTTTCATGAGGACCTATTACCTCTTAGACTATTTAATACCGTATTTTAAACATATATATTTGCCCACGTGGACATAAAAATAATGCAAAATTATAAATAGTAATGTGTCCACGTGGACACATATATACCTTTAAAATACACTATTAAATAGTTCAGGGGGTAAAAAATCATTTTCATTAGGGATAAGGGTCTGAAAAATACCTTAACTTTGATCGAATTTGTTGTTGCGATACTAAACTTTCATGAGGACCTATTACCTCTTAGACTATTTAATACCGTATTTTAAACATATATATTTGCCCACGTGGACATAAAAATAATGCAAAATTATAAATAGTAATGTGTCCACGTGGACACATATATACCTTTAAAATACACTATTAATTATTTAGGGAGTAAAAAATACGGTATTAAATAGTCTAGGGAGGTAATAAATCCTCATGAAAGTTTAGTATTGCAACAGCAAATCCGACCAAAGTTGGGTATTTTTCAGACCCTTATCCCTTTTCATTACATGATGAAGTAAACATGGCTAATATCTAGGTGATGTTGAAGGTATGAATGAACACTTTACCAAGAAGTTTATAAATTAACATAAGTTGGTAAGAATGCTGAGAAATGAACCATTCTGCTGAAATTTCTCTTACGGTTTCAAAAAAAGAAATGCAAGATACAAAAACCAACTATTTTGGATTGGAGTATATATAACAAATCAATCTGGTAAGTAGGGCTGCTTAGCCTAATTATGTAATAATTATCAACAATAATTAGAATTTCCATATCCAAAACAAAGAACAAAAAATTTGGGGAGAAAGAATTAAGTAACCATTGATTGATTGATTGTTTAAGTATAATATACACATATAGCTCTATACAACATGAGGATTGAGGACTCTCTAAGCTAAATTCTTTAAGCCTCCCAATCAGACAACAAAATTCTGGGAAGGAAAATCTCAACCACTTCAGTACCAGCTTGAACAAGCTGTTCAATTGTTCACTATTTCCCTCATCACACTTTTGAGGCAGCTAAACAAGATACTCAACTTCATTTTCGTTCCACGTGTTCAATTCGAGAGGTTTTACATGGAATAACGACCATCAGTCTTGTCTTTAGTTGGTCGTTCGTCTTGGATTTCCTCCAATTCCTCATCATCTCCTTTTCTACCAGCTTGTTCCTTCCAGTATGAAACTAGCTTCTTTAAACGAGCGACTTCCTTTGAGGAAACATTTTTGCTGGGATCATTTACAATAGAACGAACTCTTGATGCATACCTGTGAAGCATGGAAACCAAATTTCCAGATATGTTACAACCCTTGAATATAAGTCGGCTCCATTGTATGATTAACATGATCAATTGAAGGAGGAAAATTATTAGCTCATTTAATTATGAATAACACAATCAAGAAATGAAACAATAAAGAACATACGTCAAGGAATTGTGAGTCTCATCCAAGTTTGATTCTGCTGGAGAGATGTTTACAAACATCAGGGTTTTAGCATTTCCACCTAACGAGTCGCTCATCAACATGGTTAGCTTGTGATTTCGATAAGGAATGTGTTGATTTCCTGAAGATAATGCACTTATAACATCACCAAGTGCTGACAGGGACTTGTTAATGCTTTGAGCTTCTTTTAATTGATTGCCAGCTGAGCCAGACTTTTTAACTCTTTCTGAGCCAGCAAGATCCA